TCAGTTCATACACACATAAGAGAACACTTTAAACAGAAAATCACAATAATCTATAGACTGAATGTGAACTAAAGTAATAACAAAATGATAATACCAAAAGTCAGTCGTAACCTCCAGGTCAGTTTATACACACATAAGGAAGAAAACACTTTAAACTAAAAATCACAATAATACTGATTAACATTAGACTGAATATGAACTAAAGTAAGACTGAATATGAACTAAAGTAATAACAAAATGATAATACCAAAAGTCAGTCGTAACCTCCAGGTCAGTTTATACACACATAAGGAAGAGAACACTTTAAACAGAAAATCACAATAATACTGATTAACATTAGACTGAATATGAACTAAATTAATAACAAAATGATAATACCAAAAGGCAGTCGTAACCTCCAGGTCAGTTTATACACACATAAGAGAACACTTTAAACTAAAAATCACAATAATACTGATTAACATTAGACTGAATATGAACTAAAGTAATAACAAAATGATAATACCAAAAATCTCTATCAGATGTTTCCATGATCAGTTCTGAAATTTACCAAAAAATTATAACACGCTTTATCATTCCTGCAGGAATCCTGCTACTTGAAGCCGAAAAGAGCTCCACCCTCACAGATGAATTTGTTTGCAAAACCATCATTTGCTTTGCCCCAGCTTTCTGTGAGTTTTCTCTCCAGGACCAGCAGCGCTTTTGGACCTGAAGTACGGAGATGCTCCTTCACCCAGAACCTTTAAGACGGAAACATGAACCTCAGAACAAAATAAAATCTCAGCTCATTGATATCAAACTGATAACATCAGTATTAAATTAAATGAGTGGAATGTACTTGCAAGATTGGATTAAAGATATCTAAATATTGTTGTTTTTTACAGTTACATCTAAAACCATTCAAAATCAACAGAGAATTAGCAGTCTTTCAGAAAATCAGATATTAGATTGATGATTCAGACACATCAGACAGTTAATCATTTATATAATGTTTCATGTATTTAATCTCATTAGACATGTTAGAAACTGTACCAGACAGGGAGCAAGGTTATTACAGTTAAATAAAACAAACAAAATAACAATAACTGAACAAACAAATAAATAAAAATGGTAATTAATTTGGAAAAACTATAACTAATTGGAAATGTGATATGTTTGTAAAACTAACTAAAACATATTGAAATTATAGATATAATATACTATATAATATTTTTGTGTTTATGAACCTATTTATTAGCCTTTTGAACTCGTGAAATTGTTTTTTTAACCCCTCAAACGTCAGCTGTCGGTAAATTACGGCGCTAAAACGCCCCCTGGCGGCGAAATGGCGACAGCAAAGTGTCTTCTGTTGAGTATTCATAACCCAGTGGATCATGTATACAAAGCCACAAGACAATACCACAGTAATATTTTGAGGTGCAGAGTTCAAAGTAATTAAAACTAACTAAACTAGACCAAAAAAAATCATAAGAAATAAAACTAAACTGTAATGGAAATCTAAAAACTATTGTAATCCTGGTCAGGAGCTATTAGATTATTATTCTTACTTCGAACAATCATAATGTTACTGTTTTGGCATTGTTCTTAATGTCAGAGTTATATCCATACTGGGAACAAACCCAGAGTTCAGTGATGGATAAATCTGCATCCATCAGGGGATTATGTTGTCACAGCAACAGCCTGTTTGGCAACCATTGTAAACGTATGTAGCTTTAACTCTTCTGCAACCTTGGTGGAGTATATTTAAATTTTTTATTTATTTATTTATTTATTTATTTATTTATTTATTTATTTATACATAAAACACACTTTTGTTTTTTATGAGCTGAACACAAAGATGAAAGACTTTTCCTATTTACTATTTTTCTCAGATGTTGTTCATAAAGCAGTTAAATCTGTTCGTCTCCTTTGCCCAGAGAATCCATCTTGATTACTGCACAGTTGTGCTGATGCTGGACAAAGAAAAGGTCATTTGGAAATGTGCTGGTTTGTAGGGGAAAAACAAAAATGTTTCATTTACATTTTTGTTTTGTCTGGTTCTTACCCAAGAGTGTCTGCATGTCCATCCACCCAGGTCCAGGTGTTGTTAACATGTTGTAACCCCATCCAGTATCCGTGGTCTTTGTCATAGTAGTATTTAGTGTGATTGCTGACAAATTCCTGTGAGCAGATTATCTTAGATTTTTATAAACCTTCTTACGTCAAGCCATCAATTTTACACAGAAACTTCCAGATTTCCATGGTTGTTTTAAATTTTCATGTTAGTGTAGAGGTGGTGTCAGATTTTACCTGCTCCTTCAGATCATCAATAACAACCAAATCTGCATATTTGTCCCGACAGAACTTCCGACTTTCTGTCCAGGTCAGCCAAGGATGTGAATCGTAAAACAGGTAGCATTTTTCCTGGAAGAGAATCCAATCTTTCTGGCACGGTTTACACTCTGGATCCATTAGACGAGAGGAAAGAGCAGAAAGAAGTGAAACTTTGGCAAAATAAAATAAACTAGAAAAAAAATATAAAAGAAATCCCTGTGAATATATTTAATGTTTCAGTTGTCAAAATTACTCAAAAGTCTTCAGAAATGGAGTAAAATTCAACAGTATTGGAAGGTGATTAAGTTAAGTTACTATTTAAATTAGAAGTGGCGTACCACAGGACTCTATGCTTGGTACACTCAAAATAAAAACAATAATGTGTGACATAAAAAAGCCAATAAACCTGTTGCTAATAAATCACTTTCACTCTGCTCCAACCCAGGCCCTGGCTCAGTTTGGTGTGGCCTTTAAAAGTAAACCTGTGATAGTAATGATCAGGTCTGTCTTGAAAGCCACTTTATAAGCACATACTAAAAAAATAACAAAACAATTAATCCGGAAATTAAAAGTTAATGTAGGAAACTAATGACCTTTGTTAGGGCAGAGGTCTTTTGCTGGAATGTTTTCAAATTTCAGGAGGAGTCCCAGTGTTCTGTTCATCTCTTTGTTCTGGTTCTCCATCATTTTTCTTTCCTCAATCAGTCGCTCATTTTCTGTGGTAACATTACTGATAGTTTCCTGCTGCTTGATCATCATCACATTAACTATAAAAACAAGAAAAATAGTCAGAAAGTCAGTGAATCTATCCATGTCAGAGAAGCATCAACATTTTCAGTTTGTCTTTCAGGATATCACAGTTTTCTGAGACCCAAACGATGGTTAGCTGATTGCTGTCCTACTCAGCTTGTTGTTGCTGATCTGCAGGCCAGCTCAGCTCCCAGCTTCTTCTCATGAAACTTTAGCATCTCAGTAGGTTTAAACTGGGCAGCAATAAGTCAAACTTACTCATGGCATCATTCCTGTGTCCCTTATTAACCATCATAACTCCTACTGATTTACATGTGCCCTTCTATGCTTTTAACCTTTGAAAACTCTTCATAAAGGAAGCTATACAGTATAGAGCTTATTTGGTTGAAGTGAAACTCACTCTGCATGGTGATGACAATTCTTGCAGCCATCAGCGCAGAAAAAACCAGAAAACACAGCAGCATCAGAGAGCAGTGACAGAGTGCTGATGCTTCCTCTTCTGCTCGACCTGAAAGAAACGACGATGATCAGAATGGTTGCTGATGTGATTTAAATCAGATTTCTTTTGATTTGCATTCTAACATAGGGCTGTAGTTTTAATATGACTTCAGTTAAATTCAGTTCAAAGTAAAAGATGTCTCCAAGCCCTTCACAGAAAGAGGAAATACAGAGTTATTCATTGACCTTCACTCTACATCCTGCTTGGATCTGGGCCTGAGTGCTGGTGTCACTCAGGCCCGGATTGGTGTCGATGTTATGATCTCTGCAGTCCAGTCACAAGATCCTTTACTGGCTTTGAATTTTCTTTCAGCTCTCAGTGTTATTAGTTCTGACTTTGCAACATCAAAACCTGCAAACTTTCTTGGGATCTAGCTATTTTTTCATTTGTTCTTCCTCTTCTTGTTCAGCTTCTTCTTATCCTTATAACAATCATTTAATCTTAGGAAGATTTTCACTTCCTCTTCTTTGGGGCTTGTTTGTGTCAACAGGTAAATTTAGACCAGAGTTTCCAAAACTCACATGCAGTGCTCCATGTTGCCTACCTCTTATTTACTATGTACATGCTCCCATGAGCTCAGATTATAAGAAACAACAAGATGAGTTTCCATTACTATGCAGGTGATGCAGCTCTACATCACAATGTCACCAGTTGGCTGTGAACCATTGAAGCGCTGAGCAGATGCACAGAACAAATCAATGAGTGGATGTGCCATAACTTTCTTCAGCTGAATAAATGAAGTAATATTTTGTACCAAAGGAGGATCAATCAATAGTCAGCACAAAGCTTCAGTTATTACAATCAGAAACTAGGGATCAGAGCATTAATCTGGCTTTAGTGATAGTCTGACCTGAGCCTTCAGAGACACATAAAGATGATTACAAAGTCGGCCTTTTGTCTTAAGAATAAGTCTAACTTTATCATACAAATGTCCTCACTAGATTTATACAGGAACTCATCCATGTGTTAATCTTCAGTCGAAATGATCGGTGGAGGAGTGTCTTCATGGGTCTGCCTGGTGGGCTTCATCTATGAAACCATTTGGGTCTGTAGATTTTGGTCTACTCTGCTTCTCCAGAATCAGAACCACACATGCAGAGGCGTTATTGAATTTCTATACTTCACTAATCTGGAACAAACTCCCAGAAAATGAGAAAAATTACTAAACGCTGAGTTCATTTCAACCCAGGTAAAAACATATTTGTGTGGAGTTGCTGTTGAATCTTCTATTTATAACTGAAACATCACAAATTTTAGTCCATACTCCAAATCGTATTTACTTTCCTTTATTATGCCACTGCACTGCAACCACCTGAAATGTTCTGTACAACTAAACTTGGCTTCCTGAGATTAAGGCTGAAGGTTTATATGCGACATAAAAACAATTCCTATTACATCATTACAACTTTCCATAGAGGCAACAAAAACGTATTAAGTGGATTTGAGCTGCAATGTTGCTTTTAAATATTCATAAAATCTGTAATTTATATGGAATCACTTACTTTCTGGAGAAGGTTTTTCATTTTTGATTTTCACTGTAGAATAACAATCGTCGTCCTTTTTGCTCTTCATTCTTCACAAAGAAAATAATAAAGACTTAAACATCAGAAAAATGTCCAGCAGCTGCTGGAGCGATCTCAGCATGTGAACTGGGTGGGTTCACTTCCTCGTTTTTAAAGACGACCTCAGTGTGATGCTGCATCACTATAGTGGCTGTTTTCTGCTCTGGGAAACGTATCTGCTTCTGCAGCAGCCCTTCACACCATGGTGACGCAACATGTAAAACAGGAAGTGGCGCTTTATTTGGCCTTCATAACCCAGAGCACATCACACTACATTCACATTCTGAAGGCTGCAAGTCTGACAGAAGTGAGGCTGAAATGCACCGGACCCTCCGACAGGTGAAGAGCCACAGCCGTCATACT